GTCCTGGCGGCGCGCGTCCGAAGCCCCGCCCACCGAGGCCCGGTCCCCCGGGCACGCCCCCTGCGATGCTGTGCCCCGCCCACCGCGCCAGCCTAGGCTCCACCCACACGCCCGGCCTCCGCCCCCCCCAAAAGGGCTTGGCATCTGCACCCCAGACTCCCCACGCCTGGCTGCGGGTTCGCAGACAGGGTGAGCTCCTCCCTGCGGGACCCCAGAGCGGCGTGGGACCCCTCGGGGCCCCAGGGCTTAGGGAAGGCCGCGGGAGGGGTCCCGGAGGAGGAGGAGGAGGTTGAGGAGGGGAAGGAGGGTCCAGGCAGACCGGGCCACCTCCCCGTGTTGCTCTGGGCAGCAGGGCCTGGCGCGGGCCTGCGTGGACGAGTCCCTGCAGCCTCCTCTACTCTTCCCGTCCTTCCCCTCCTGGCCACCTTCCTGACGGTTTCTCTGGCCAGCCACCCTCACCTGCTCCTGCTGCCCTCCCACAGGAACACTGGCCTGTGTCAAGACAGCCCCTCCCTGGGCCTCCACCAGGTCAGTGAGTCCAGAGCTTTGGGCGTTTTCTGCCTCCTGGACTGGAGTGCCCTGTCCCTCCCTGTCATAGCCAGGCCTCCACTCGTTGCCCATCCTGCCGGAGGCTTCTGTTCCTCCCATTTCCTGCCGTGGTAGTCTTGGAGGATAGAGCAAGGCCAGTTCTGGTCCAGGAGGACACAGCTAGGGCCAGTGAAGAGGCAAAGATGGAGACTTGGGAGGTCCTTTTGCTTTCTCTGGTCTGGAGTAGGGAGGCTTTTGGACATGGGGCTGTGACTCAGCCCCCAAGAGCCAGGACCCAAGGCAGTAGTATGAGCAGGCGCTGCTTTAAGCATGCAGCTGCTGAGACCTGTGCGAAGCATTCTTCCCAGATTCCTGGGAAGTGTGGGGTGGGCACTTCTGCAGTCTTGGCCAGTGGCCGCTTGCCTATTTCCAATGACAGCAGAGCAGAGCTGAGCAGGCAGAGCCATGACACGGGCAGGAGCAGGAGGACACTGGCTTGGGCACTGTTTGCCACTGGGGGTGAGGGTTGCTGGTTCTGGGGCTTGAGCTCTGGGCTTGGGCTCTGTCCCTCACTCTTCAGCACAAGGCAAGCGCTGGTTCTGGGGCTTGAACTCTGGGCTTGGACGCTGTCCCTCAGTTCTTCAGCTCAAGGCAAGCGCTCTACCACTTGAGCCATAGCACTGCTTCCAGTTTTCTGGTGGTTTATTGGGGGTAAGAGTCTCACAGAGTTTCCTGCCCAGGCTGGGCTGGCTTTGAACGGTGGTCCTCAGATCTCAGCTTCCTGAGTAGCTAGGATGACACACGTGAGCCACTGATTCCCGGCTCATTTTTTTATTTTTTTATTTTTGCTGCACCTGGCAAGAGGAGGCCTAGATAGGCAGAAGACATACTGAGCAGGATGTCTCGTTGTGGCTTGGTCAATAACCAGACCTTCTACTCATCTTGCTGGAACTAAGGGCCTGACAGGGCTTTTGATCTTGAGCTGAGAATGTCCTGGGACTTGACCTGTTCTAGGGAGCTGTGGGGGTGGGCATGGAGGGGAGGAAGGGGCGGTCCTGGAGCCTTCCAGGACGGGTGGCTCACCCCAGGTGGCTGGATGTCAGGCAGGCCTGGGCTCGCCCCATGGGACCTCCTGGGGAGCCTGACCTGTGCAGGACACTGGCTCTCCACTCCCCTTGGAAACCAGGCTGCTGCCACCTGCCCAGGATGCACGCCTCTGCTACAGCCAAGTCCAAGTGGGTCTTGCTGACCTGCTGGGCCTTGACTTGCTGATCTATGGGACTCTCCTCACCTCTGTGCCTCATCCAGGAAGCCCTCTATAGGGCTGTGCCTTGGCCTCTGGTTGTACCCTAGGTCTCCTGGGCTCAGGTAGTTTCTGAACCGTGGCCTGGATGGAGCCCCAGCATCTGTGGTGAGCTAGTCATGGCTCAAGACTGAGCTGGAGACTGAGTGGCAGGTGGCCTACACAGGCGGGGCATGGACAGAATCCAGGTTGTCTCTTCAGGGAGCGATGGCCACTGTCTGCTGCAGCCCCTGGGTGGGAGCCTGCCCTGCCCAGGTGGGATCCTGAGCCTCCCAGCATGTCTCCTTGTGGGACCACAGCAAGTCTGGGTCCCGGCCTGGTTGTGTATCTGGAAGATGACCCTGCCAGCTATATGAAGTCTGAGGAAGGGGCCAGGGTTCTGTTAGTGTTGGCCCTGGCTCACCCCTGCCCCGTGAGTCCTGTGTGGACACTGGAAGCCTGTCTCACCACGGCAGAAGCCATCTAGGACAGGGGCGTCCCCCTGTCCACCACATCACCAAATCCAGCAGTCCTGCAATGCGGTCAGCCCGGTGTGGAGCCTTCTCGGGAGGCTGGCCAGCCCCTCCCATGCCCTCTCTGGGTCTCATGGGCCTAGCCACCCCGTGCCAGCCCCTCGGGCCCGCGGGGGCCTCTCCTGTGCACGCCCCTACCCCAGAGCCTCAGGAGGCCGCTGGCCTCTGTCCATGCCAGGTGGCTGCTTCCTCCCTCACCCCACAGTTCCCCACTTCCAGTGGACGCGGGCAGTGAGCAGGTCCCCCTGGCTGGCAGCGGTGGGGTAGGTCTGTCTGGCCATATAAGCCCTACGTAAGGCACCTCCGAGACCCTGGCTGCCACCTTTCCACTTTCAGAATGGTGTCCAGAAGTCCTGGGACTTTATGAAGACATGTGACAGGTGAGGGCCAGGTGTGGTGCTGGGCAACCCTCAGACTGACCCTGGGCCTGGGAGTGTGGAGCCCCCACCGCCCGCCTCTGCTCCCTTCACGACTGTTGTCTTATTGTGATGATTACTACATTTACAGTTTTGCAGTAATGGAGATGGACCTTAGGGCCTTGCTTTTTCTAGGCAGGTCACAGCCCAGCCTGCAGACGGGAGTCTGACCCTGGTGGCAGGGAGGCCATGCCACTGCCCTACCCCAGCACCTAAGATGTGGGCTGACAGCCATTGGCCTGAGGGCGTGGCTGGCCCACAGACTCCTTCCACCATCCCACTGCGGCCCTCCCAGGCCCCCCGCGCGTCCTCGGCGCCCCATCCCCTCACGGGACCCCCGCAAGTCTGGGTCCTGACCCTGCCAGCTGTATCTAGCCTGAGGAAGGGACCGGGGTTCTGAGGCTGGGGGACAGGGAGGCATGCTGGGGAGTGAGGACGGGCCAGGGCCGCAGCGCGGGGCCACAGCGTGGCGTCTGCTTCCGTGCTGTCCACGTGCAGTGTGACCGTGCTCATGTTCAACGCTTCTCGAAGGAGCCTGGTGCTGGTGAAGCAGTTCCGGCCAGGTGAGGCGCACGGCAGGGCGGGGGGCACCCTGAGTACAGGTGGTGGGGGTGGCCGGGCCAGCGGGGCGCTCAGGTGAGCACCGTGGGGCCGTTCCCACCAGCCGTGTATGCGAGTGAGGCGGGGTGCCACTTCCCCAAGGCCTTGGCCGCCCCAGCCCAGGGTGGGCTTCAGGAGCTGCCGCGGCACTGCCCGGCTCTGTGGGGGTGACGGTGGAGCTGTGCGCCGGCCTCCTGGACCAGCCAGGGCTCTCGCCGGAGCAAGTAGCCTGCAAGGAGGCTTTGGAGGAGTGTGGCTACCACCTGGCCCCCTCTGACCTTCGCCAGGTGGCTACGTACAGGTGAGGGGCGGGGTGGTGGGGAGGTGAGGGGGGGTGGTGGGGAGGTGAGCGGTGGGGTGGAGGTGAGGGGCGGGGTGGTGGGGAGGTGAGGGGCGGGGTGGAGGTGAGGGGCGGGGTGGTGGGGAGGTGAGGGGCAGGGTGGAGGTGAGGGCGGGGTGGATGGACAGGCATCTAGTCTGGAGGAAGACGCGGGACGCAGGCAGGTTCCTCTTGCTTTCAACCCGTGGCTGGAGGAAAGGTGGGACCATGTGCCTTAGGTGCTAGGCCGTGGGACGTGGAGGTCCGCAGGGCTGGGTCTGCGCCCCCAGCCTGCAGCCGCAGCCACGAGGAGCCAGGCCCCAGTGGCAGCTGCCGCTGACAGATGCCCCACTTCCTGTGGGATTAAGCCCTGGGTGCCGGGGGTGGGTGAGTCACAGCTCTCTTCTCGGTGTGGCTCAGGAATGAGGAGAGGCTGTCTTGGGCCACGGGCCTCTGGGGAGGGGAAAGCCCGGGCACCCCATTCGCATCCCTATGGGCCTGCTGGCTGGGCAGTCTTTGCAGGACAGGCTGCTGGAGCTCTGGCCCAGGTCCTGACCCCACCAGGGGTCTGGGGAGAGGGTTGTGTGTGCCCATCACCCAGCTGAGGGGGTGCTGGCCTCTGGGCACCTTTCTGGAGGGCTGGGAAGGGCCAGGCGTCTCTTCTGCCTCCTAGCACTCGCTGCTGGGCCTGCTATCTGGCCGGTAGCCCTGGCTGGAGGGGCCCAAGTTGCAGGGTGGGTTTCCCTGGCAATGGGTTGGATGCCTTGCTTAGTCTGGGCTGCCTGCAGGGTCCTCTGTGGATGGCCCGTGCCTGCTGCCGGCTCTCCTCAGAGAATCCAAGGGCCAGGCCTGGCTGAGTTCAGCCAGGAGGCAGCCGTGGAGCAGTCTGGGGGATTGGGGATGGGTCTTGCGGAGGTTGGAGGGCCAGTGGAACAAGTAGCCCTGGCTGCAGTGTGTGCGTAGACTGGGCCTCCGGGCTCTGGCCCGACTCTGAAGGTGCTGGGGAGCCTAGCAGAGTCTAGCCAGCGGGCATCCTACTCAGACATGAGCTCTGGGGAGGTCATGGCGCCTGTCCCTGTCAGGATGGGGGTCTGTCCGCTCCGTGACAGAGCCAGAGGCTTCCTACCTGTGGTCCTGGAGGTAAGCCAGACCACTAGTCACACGTGGCAAGCCCAGGAAGGCCAAGGGACCAGCTGACGACCTGAGTGAGTGAAAGCAGGAGCTGGGGAAACAGGCTGGAGACGCCACAGGCTGGCTGCATCCAGAAGGGGCAGAGGGTGGCCATCCGGAAAGGGCGTGGGGATGCGGAGGGGACTGGGGGGCCCGCGTCGGCCCTTGTGGGGAGGAAGGCATGGGCGCATCATCGTTTCTGCCCCCAGGTCTGTGTGGGACACTTGGTCTCCACACCACTTGGGCCCCGGCTAGCCTTGGTTGCGCACCTGGTACCCTGACCCAGACTTCTCTTTAGACTCCCTGTGCGGCCCGTCCCGTTCCTGGCCCCTCCCACCCCGTTCCTGGCCCCTCCCACCCATCTTCCCATCTCAGTCACTCTTCTCAGCACTGCTCCTGAGCTCTTCGTCCTGTGGGTCAGAGGCTGGTAGTCTGCAGGCCCAGCTGCGTCAGGCCTGCCGCCTTTGCCCGTTTCCCAGGCAGCCAGGGGTCCCGGGGTATGGATGGCCTGGGCCTTAGAGGGGAGCTTTGGGATCAGTCTGCAGAGGGGAGGCAGCCCCAGGGGCTTACTGCATGGGGCGGGCCTGGCAGGGATGCCAGCCACCCGCTCTGGGACCTTTTGGTTTCTGTGGGTGTGAAGTCTGTATCCAGACGCTTGATGTGAAGTCCAGGGTCTCACCTGTCAGGGCACTCAGCCAGATCCAAGATGTGTCCATGTCTGGGGTCCTCTTCCCAGCTCACAGGACCGTTGCCAGATTTTACTATGGGCATGAACAGAAGCCGTGTCTCCTTGCGGGCTGTTGGCTGGGCCTCTCAGCTGCTCTGGGCTTCTGCCCCGGGCCTCTACAACATGGCAGGTTGTGTATCCTCTGGGCCAATGGACAGCCATGAAACCCTCTCTGATGAGGTCTTGGGGTTACCCTCAAGGAGCCTGGGAAGGTCCCAAGTCTCCTGTACACATCACACCTGTCCTGACACGAACCATGGTGGAGTTGTGGAAAGCATGCCACTCGAGGGGACGGATTACAAGGCCCTGCCAACCAGGGGTCCAGGTCGGGAGGGCTCAGGCAGGACACTCAGGGTCCTGCTTGCTAGAAGGGCAGAGGTGCGGAGTGGGGTGCTTTGCTGAGCATTTCACTGGGTCCTGTCTCCTCCTGCAGGGCTGGAGTGGGGCTGACTGGCTCCAGGCAGACCGTGTTCTAAGCTGAGGTGACAGACGTCCAGCGCGGGGGACCGGGTGGAGGTGTGGCGGAGGAGGGCGAGCTCATTGAAGTTCTGCATCTGCCTTTGGATGGTGCCCAGACCTTTGCGAATGACCCAGACGTCCCCAAGACCCTCGGCGTTATATTTGCCATCTCTTGGTTCTTCAGCCAGACGTGGAGGTCCTTCCTGCCAAGTTGCCCTCCACCTTGCAGAACCAATAAAGCATGCGAGGTTTGGCCAGCGGCCACTTCTGAGCTCTGTGCCCTGGGATGTCCCCAGGCGGGGGTGTGGGCTCCCCTGGAGGCTTGCAGGTAGTCGTTCTGGGGAGCAGAGGCTGGCAGAGGGCTGGGGACAGAGCAGGGTGCCAGGGCGAGGCTGGCTGTGGGCTCAGGAGGGCCCACTGGTGGCTGTCAGAGCCTGAACACTGAGAGGAGGGGCCAGCGCTGCCCTGCTCTGACTTCTCTGCTGGTGAAGGACCCCGCTGAGGGGTGTGCTGGACTCTTCCCCCGATGCTGTAGGGACCTCACTCAGCCAGCGGAGGACGAGGAGTGTGCGGCCTGCCCAGGGTACGCACCCAGGCCAGGCCTGTGTGGGTATGACCTGGGTCCTGGCCTGCGGGTGTGTGGATGTGCAGTGCACACCGCTCAGGGCTACCCTCTGGGTCCCGGTGTGCCTTGGGGTGGCAGGAGGGCCGCGCAGACCACAAGCAGGCCTGGGGTCATTTAGGGAGTGAGGTAAGGCTTGATTGACCCTTTCGAGTCTGGTGACCCGGCCTGGCCCTTCCCTAGAGCCCCTTCTCCCAAACGCTAGGTGGTGGCTCACTGACCTGGACCTGCTCTGTGCCCCCTGTCTCCCCTTTGGCCCCCCTCCCCGACCCAGTGCCCTGGGACCAGGCTCTGAACTGAAATGGTGCAGTCCTCAGGGTTGACAGACAGCCCCTGCAGGACAGGCTGGAGCACCCCACTCCGCGTGGCCCCACCCCAGGGGCTCAGGCCTCTGCTCCTGCCGGCCCACACAGCAGTGCAGGGCACCGGCTGGACGCCCCGGAGGCCTGGCGCCGAGGCAGCGCCCCCTCAGGCAACACCACCTGTATGCAAATATGGGTCACAACCCAGGTGGGGCCTCAGCCAGGTGAATGGAGGGGCGGTAGGCGTGCAGTGTGTATCCAGGGGCGGGCAGCAGTGGGCGCATAGCAGCTCAGCTCCGCCCCACCCAGAGAAGGCCCAGCAGGTCAAGATCCTTAGGACAGGAGCCCAGCCCCTGCTGCCCCTGCTCTGCCTCTCTGGTGCTCACCCTGGGACCCAGGGCCCCCTGGTGACCTGCAGGCCTTGCTGCTGCCTCAGGGACTTTGTGGGGGTGCTGCGTGGGGCAGCTGGCTCTGAAGCACCCTTGAGAGGGCTCTGAACACGGGGGGGGCAGGCACCTGGACTTGGGTGCAGTCCAGGCCCCTTGCTCTGCGCCACAGCCCGGTGGGCAGGTCAGAAGGCGCTGCCGCTGGGCCTAATGGAGCTGGCATCGATTTCCCAGCATGGGGAGGGGGGGCTGTAACCGGAAACTCCCCTCTCTGGCCGCTATATTTAGCACCATCGGACATGGGCGGAAGCTCACTCCCCAGCCCAGCCAGCTCTGTCCAACCCCTGGGCTGTCTGGGCAGCAGCAGTGCCCTGGCCAGGCCTCGTGGCTCTTGTACCTCGCACAGCTGGAGGTAGTGCAGCCTGGATCATGGCGGAGGCCTTCCCAGGAGAGGTGGGGCAGGTAGACTGGATCCAAAGTGTAGGAGCCAGAGATTCGCAGTCCCGGAGAGGCCACCGCATCATTTGAAAACTCTGCAGGCCCACAATTCCCTCTGTTGCATTCTGGGAAGCCACCCTGGGCCCAGCGACCCCTCCCTGCAGGGAGGCCCTGGGGGCCTCGTTGGTGCTGTCTCCCCCCACCATGAGGAAGTGTGGCTTCGTGTGGACACCACCCGCCTGGGTGGGGCCTGCACAAGGGGAGAGGGTTTCTATACCTGGCAGGTGCCACTGTGAGTAGGAAGAGGCTGGCCCTCCTGCTCGCTGGCTGCTCTGGCTGTAGGAACAAAGGTCTTACTCCCTAAGGGCCCGAGGAAGGCAGGAGGGGCTGGAGCAGGGTCTCTGCTCTGCAGGCCAGACCAGTGGACAGGCCCCAGGGAGACTGTGGCCCTACCAGAATGAGCCTGTGTCCTGGGCTAGACTCAGCCACACAAGAGCCTCCCTGAAGCAGAGCTAGCCTACTGGGCTCTGCCCTCCTGGCAGCAGGAAGCTGGGAAGATGGACGGGGAGAGGCGGAGGGGGGACTAGATCCTGGGTCCCATTTCATGCCGGAGCTCCCCCTGCTCGGTCTCTGCCCACCCACAGGCCCTGGGCTGGCCGCGGTCCCCTCTCACCTACATGACAGCATCTCGACCTTGCTCCTCTGCCCCCAGCCCTGCAACCAGGGATGTAGGTGAAAATGTAAGGCTCTGTGTGATCCCCCGCCCAGCCCAGCCGCGGGCCCTGTCCCCCGCCTCGCAGGCTGCGGTCACCGCTGGCCTGGCCCGCCGGCCCTGTCCCCCGCCTCGCAGGCTGCGGTCACCGCTGGCCTGGCCTGCCAGCCCTGTCTTTCCCACATAGGCCTCTTCCCCCCTCGTCCCCCTTGCAACCTGGGGACACACTATGGTTACTCTGCAGTATTGGAGTCACGATCTGTCAATGGACAGTGGCAGGGATGAGCACAGAGCTGCTCTCTCCTTCCGATGACTCCACCGCCAGCCAGAGTGCAAGAGGCGGCATCAGCAGAGAGCAACCAGAAGGCTCTGCGCACAGCTCCAGTTCCCTTATTTGGTGGGGGTCTCTGTGTGTGGCAGGCCTGGTTTGTGTCTGGCCCCCACCTAACCTGTCAGCCCACACGCCCCAGGGGGCTCAGGTGGGGTGTGTGTGCCAGGGTGAGCAGACCGGTGGTAGAGGGCCTGGGGCCTCTGGCTCCCGCTACAAGCCCTGAGAGGGCCGATGGCCGGGGCTGCTAGGCAGGAGGGGCAGGTGAGCCTGGCGTGCTGACCCTCCCGGGCGGAGGGCCTCCAGCAGGCTGCGCTTGTGCTTCCCAAGTTCCTCGCTGTCTGCGGCCGCGGGACAGGGGCTGTGATGGGGGAGGGGTCGCCACGCCGGGGCCAGCCTGAGGCCATCCCACGACCAGGGTGACCACCGGCCCCGGAGAGGGGAGAGGGCCCTGCCGGGAGCCCGGGAGCCCCCGGTAGGGCCCGCAGAGGGGTGTGGAGGTCAGGGAGGTGATGGTGGTGGGGACGCGCGGAGCGGCGCGCCTTCGGGGGGCGGGGCTCGGCCCTGAGCCGCCCCCGGGCG